GGCGCCTTAGCTGCTTGAGCCACAGGTGCTGAGCCCAGTTTACATTTTCTAATAGCAGCCAACATTAATGTTAATTATATCTCACTCAGTGGTTTTCCTTTCTTGCTTTAAAATGCTAAAGTGTGATGTTTTCATTTCAATTACTTTTCCTTATGTCACACATACCTATGCTCTCTATATATCTTATGTCTTCATAGAATTTATCATCACCTAATGTTCTATATAATTTATTTTTTATTTATTTGGTACCTCCCCATACACATAACAGAATGTGAACCCCTTAAGGATAGGGAGTTTGGTTTGTTTTATTCACCACTATATCCCTAGCACCTACAAAAGTGCCGTACACATAATAGGAACTCAAAAATTAGATATAAGATCTACATATATTTTATATAGGAACTGGATTAATGTTGAAGAAATGGAAAAATATGTAGAAAATATCTTTTAAAAAATATCTTCTCATATTATGTAATGTTTAAATTATAGCATCTAAAAGATCCTAACATAAATTATCGAAGTGTCATTGTATTTTTTACCCAGGATTGCCCAAAGGGAAATATTTTATAAAGCAAAGGAGAGAATGTGCAATGATGAATGAAGAAACAAAAGAAATGAACTAGAATTTAAAACATACATAAAATAAAGACATTTTCCAAAGCAATGTATTAGTAGATTATAAAGTTGTGTATATACATAAAAAGGACATTTAATTGGCTTTAAAGAGGTCTTGAACTGAATATTGAGACATTTAGGATTTAGATTATCAAATGTATAGTGCTAGTGACAAATGTGCAAATGTATATCTAGTGATTCAAGGAATAAACACAGGCATGAAGAAATCAATTCATTTATTCAATAAATATTTTTAAGCACTGCTATAGTCTGAAGGTGTATCCCCCAAAATTCCTATGTTGAAACCTAATCCCCAGTGTGATGGTATTAAGAGGTGGAGCCTTTGGGAGGTGATTAGGTCATGAAGGCAGAGTTTCCATGAATGGGATTAGAGCCTTCATAAAAAAGGCCCAAGGGAGCTTGTTTGCTCCTTCTACTATATGAGGACACAGCTAGAAGGCAGCATCTATGAGGAACAGGCCCTCACCAGAAACCAAATCTGCTGGGATCTTGATCTTAGACTTCGTAGCCTCTAGAACTGTGATAAATAAGTTTGTTTATAAACTACCCACACTATGTGATTTTGTTATAGCAACCCAAATGGACTGAGACAAGTATGTAGAATTGTCTGAACACTAAAGTAAATACTATTGAAAGGATAAAAAGATTAACTGTATATAATCAGGCATAGATAATCTAGAGAAGTTTATGCAGATGATTATCCATCATTGGTACTCTTAAGCTGTTAGAAGAATATGGACAACTGAGCTATCATTTTCTTGCTAGAGAGATTTTTCAAGTCTTTGGATGGAGGAGGTATTATGGGTTGAGCATCCCTAATCTGAAAATCCAAAATCCTAACTGCTCCAAAATCTGAAACTTTTGAATGCCAACATAACACCTCAATTGAAATAGTCCACACTTGTCCTTGTGTGATGGATCGCAGTCAAAACTTTTACATACAAAATTATCAAAAATATTGCCTAAAATTACCTTCAGGCTATGTATGTAAGGTGGATATAAAACATAAATGAATTCCATGTTTAAAGTTGGGTTCTATCCCCAAGATATCTCATTATGTAAATGCAGATTTTCCAAAATCTGAAAATGTCCAAAACACTTCTTGTCCCAAGTATTTCAGATAAGGAATAAATACTCAACCTGTATTTGAACTAGGCCTTTAAGGATGGGTGTGATTTTGATGACCACAGATAAAGAGTATTGAAGGACTTTAGGATGAATGAAATCATTATTTCTCAATTATCTTCTCCCCCCCCCCAACAGGAGCTGTGTTTGATGAAAGTACTAGAAAAATATTAGTTGTACAAGATCGAAATCAAGTAAGTTTCTTTGCTTTATAAATTGCTTTCCAAATTTTTACTTCTTTATAGACAAAAATGAAATATAGAAATTTTGATATGTCCAAGGAGTTATAGAAAGATATTTTTAAAGTTTTTTCTAAGCAGTTATGGATCACTTAGATATTGATTTAAACCGAAAAGTACTCATTCAGGCCTTGAAAATGTCAAGGTAATGACGTTTGCTCCATGTTGCTCACTATCTATTATTTTATCACTACAAGAAAATTATAAATGGTTTATTTAATTGGAAAGACAACTCTTTTTTTTTTTTTTTTTTTGAGACAGAGCCTCAAGCTGTCAGCCTGGGTAGAGTGCTATGACATCACAGCTCACAGCAACCTCCAACTCTTGGGTTTAAGTGATTCTCCTGCCTCAGCCTCCCAAGTAGCTGGGACTACAGGTCTCCGCCACAACACCCAGCTATTTTTGGTTGCAGCCGTCATTGTTGTTTGGCGGGCCCAGGCTGGATTCGAATCTGCCAGCTCTGGTGTATGTGACTGGCACTTTAGCCACTTGAGCTACAGGCACAGAGCCTAGAAAGACAACTCTATTCTAACACATTATCAAGATATTCTTCCATTTATTCAGAATTCATTGAAATCCTACTCTGTGTTAGGTGCTGAGAGTACAAAGATTAATAAGACAATATCCTTGATGCTGTGCATCTCACAATTTATTTAGAAAAGCAATCATATAATAAATGGAACAATTACCATTGTCTTAAGAACCCCCTGAAGAGGGCCAGGCGCCATGGCTCATGCCTGTATTCCTAGCACACTGGGAGGCTGAGGTGCGTGGATTGCCTGAGCTCTTAGGTTTGAGACCAGCCTGAGGTTCAAGACCAGCCTGAGCCAGAGCGAGACCCCTGTCTCTAAAAATAGCCAGACGTTGTGGCTATTTTGTTATAGCAACACAAATGGACTGAGACAAGTATGTAGAATTGTCTGAACACTAAAGTAAATACTATTAAATGGATGAAAGTCCCCTCCCTCAGGAGGCTGAGGCAAGAGATTTGCTTGAGCCCAAGAGTTTGAGGTTGCTATGATCTATAACACCAGTCCACTCTACCAGGGGCAACAAAGTGAGACTCTGTCTCAAAAAAAAAAAACCCAAAAAAACCCTGAAGACTTCTCAGAGGCGGTGACATTTAAAAAGAGCCAGGCACAGTGGCTATGTCCTCAGTTTTAATTTTTCCAAAACCTGTCTTTATGTACAATGTGGATATCAGTTTATGTTTTTTCTCTCCATTCTGTTCCTTCTACCTTTTAGCTCTACTTCAGTCCATTCCATCAGATGGTAAATTTAGACATGTCAATCTCACATGTTACTGCAAATACATATTTTTTGCTGGGTTCTGTTGTACATTTGTGATTTCCTATGTATATTCGTATACTTAGAATCTGGTTCCATATTTCTTTTTTGCAATTTTTTTTTTTTTTTGGAGGGGGCTGGGTTTGAACCTACCACCTCTGGGATATGGGGTTGGCTCCCTACTCCTTTGAGCCACAGGCACCACCCTAGTTACATATTTCTTTTCTTTTTTGGGGGGGCGGGGCTGGGTTTGAACTTGGTACCTCCCGCATGTGGCAACCTACTCTTTTGAGCCACAGGCGCTGTCCTACATATTTCTTTTCAAGGAGATCTAATATAGCTCTCTGAAAGGTAAGTGAAGCTGAGTGCTGTGAGTCAACAACAAGGTGCTTCCATTGCACATATTAAGTCATGGAACAGATATGGTGTATTACAAAGCCATGTGACTGAAAATGATGGTTACATATGTAGGGTTTTTTTTTTTTTGTAGAGACAGAGTCTCACTTTTTCGCCCTCGGTAGAGTGCAGCCAAGTCGCTCCAGCAACCTCTAACTCCTGGGCTTAGGAGATTCTTCTGCCTCAGCCTCCCAAGTAGCTGGGACTATGGGCACCCGCCACAACACCCGGCTGTTTTTTGTTGCAGTTTGGCCGGGGCTGGGTTTGAACGCACCACCCTTGGTATATGGGGCCAGTGCCCTACTCACTGAGCCACAGGCGCCTCCCCATATGTAGGTTTTTGTAAAAACTTTTTGTAGTTTTATAGCTCAGTAGCTTTGATCTTTTGTATTCAATAAGGAAAAGTATATTAATAAAATAAAGATTATTAGGTAGCGCCTGTTGCTCAGTGAGTAGGGCACAAGCCCCATATACCGAGGGTGGCGAGTTAGAACCCAGCTCTGGCTAAACTGCAACAAAAAACAGCTGGGCATTGTGGCAGGCACCTGTGGTCCCAGCTAACTTGGGAGGCTGAGGCAAGAGAATCACCTAAGCCCAGGAGCTGGAGGTTGCTGTGAGCTGTGACAACATGGCACTCTACTGAGGGCAACAAAGTAAGACTCTGTCTCTAAAGTAAAATAAAGATTATTAATAATCACTAAGCAAGAAGGTAGGGGAGGGTATAAACAGATCCAGCCAGAGAGACTAGCTAGGTGATTGCTATAGTATTTAAAATGAGAAGTAAGGAAGGTTTCTTCTAAGGTCATGGTATCAGAAAAGGAAAGAAGAGAGAAATTCCTCTAGGAATTGGTGACAGTAGTTAAGTTTGTCAGCTAATCAAAAGAATGAGTTTAAAATCATTTAGTATTTTGAGCTGGGGTTAGGGGCAGCAATAATGGTATCAGTAGCAAATACAGCAGTGCTGCCAGGGGAAATGATTCATTAGAGGGCATGTGAGGCAGAGTTGAAAGAGATGTTGGTGTGAGGGTACCCAGACATTTCTTATTCCTCCTGATGAATTTTTGAGTACCAGAAAAGTTGCTATCAATTAGTTCCTAGGTTCCAGATGGTACTAAAAAGAGGTGTGAGATGAAGCATATTAATTGCTGAATTTCTTTTTATAGCTTCTGCCATCATGGCCGATAATGATTTAAAGGTATAGGCAGTGGCTTTTATTCACAGGAGTGGATACAAGGAAAATATTGATATATTGAGTCTGGGGATATGCCAGGTAGCCCCATTGGACTCTCTAAGTAGCTTAGCAGAGGACTTTCCATGACTCTGATACAGCTGCAATTCCAGTTTTTGTATAGAACACACCCTGAAGAGTCATGCAGAAATACAGTGGAACCTCCATAGGTGACCACCTCCTTACCGACTATCTCCTTTAAGTTGACCTAATTTTCATAGACGAGGCATGTACCACATATACTTAATGGAAGTTTCTTATGTTGAACACCTCCACATGTTGTCCAGTTTGGTACATGATGTCCCATGGGTCATCAACTTAGTTCTACTGTATAGCATGATGACATCTCAGGACAACTGGATATATAACAAACATTACACCAAAGAAAGAACTGAGCACCATCTTCTAAAAACAGATAAAAGATAAAAGATTAGTTTTAAGCGTCATCTGGTAAAAACAGTTGAGGGATGAAGTTGTTGAAAGGGGAAGGGGTAACACATACCAGTTCTCTTCTATAAGCTAGAGATTAGAAGAACTCAGACATAAAATCATTATGATAGTTAAATCATAATAATCTCTATCCCTTACATGTCTAGATCTGAATCACTTTAACTTTTTTTTTTTGAGACAGAGCCTCAAGCTGTCCCCCTGGTAGAGTGCTGTGGCATCACAGCTCACAGCAACCTCCAACTCCTGAGCTCAAGCGAGTCTCCTGCCTCAGCCTCCCAAGTAGCTGGGAC